AACATAAAAGGCAGCCTCTTCTCTCAAAGCCTTTTGATCTGAATTTAACCTAAAATTCACTCTCCTTCTCAGGCCTTAGTAAAATGCCTTTACACAGCTGGAGAAATCTTAAATCTAATTCATTCAGGTGCCAGGACATTTCCAGCAGAGAAGCAGCCCATGAAATGCTGTGAAAGATGATGCTACTCACAGCAGAAGGTTTACAGCAAGTGGGTCTTCTCAAAGACGCCTGGAAACCTCTCCCATAAAGATTTAGCCTTTAGTATACCACTTTGAATTAGGGTTTTAAAATATTACACTGATAAAAATGCAATTAGAGTTTTACTGCATCTAATCTTGTTGCCTATACAACTGATTCTGGAACATGTGGGGCTCAGTTCACTTTTATCTTTCTTCTTGACTGCACTTAAGGTTTAAACTGTTCTTACAACAATTACACAGTGGTATAAAATCATCAGTAATGTAAATTTACTGTAGAATTCTAGGTGTATAGATGAGATCAACATCAGGGTTTCTAAATCCATGTTCTTGTTCCCCATGTGCTCTCTGGGACATATAAAAAAGAAAATGATAAAAAAGCGAATAAGGAACCAAAATATAAGCCACAACTTTGAACCATTAGACAGAAAAACTTCACAGGTTTGTTTCAGCTGGCAGTGAGGTCATTTTGAACTGATCCTGTGGAAGACTTCTCTGTTTAAAGTTCAACCAGGAAGCTATGAAGCAGCTATACCCACTCAGAAGCAAGAACAGGCACGGTTAGTTGATATAATAAAGACCCAATGAGATCAACATCAGGGTTTCTAAATCCATGTTCTTGTTCCCCATGTCCTCTCTGGGACATACAAAAAAGAAAATGATAAAAAAGCGGATAAGGAACCAAAATATAAGCCACAACTTTGAACCGTTAGACAGAAAAACTTCACAGGTTTGTTTCAGCTGGCAGTGAGGTCATTTTGAACTGATCCTGTGGAAGACTTCTCTGTTTAAAGTTCAACCAGGAAGCTATGAAGCAGCTGTACCCACTCAGAAGCAAGAGCAGGCACGGTTAGTTGATATAATAAAAACCTGTCTGCACATCAGACAAGAAGTTCTGAAGTGACAGAACTGGGTTGCAGCGTTTCTGGTAAACAGATTCAGCAAGACTGTAAAACAGTCTTGAATGAGATGATTATTCACCCACTCAGAAGCAAGAACAGGCACGGTTAGTTGATATAATAAAGACCCATCTGCACATCAGACAAGAAGTTCTGAAGTGACAGAACTGGGTTGCAGCATTTCTGGTAAACAGATTCAGCAAGACTGTAAAATAGTCTTGAATGAGATGATTATTCTCATCCCTGCTTGATGCCAGGGAAAGGTGCTGAGGATTTAACAAATAACGGCAGAAATTAATATTCTTCCAATAAAAAAACTACGATCAGGAGGGCAGCCTGCTGTTGTAATGATATTTTTAAACGTTGAAAAAGCAGGACTCTTAAAAAACTGCCAGCTGAAAGAACTGGGCATTTTTTGTACATCAGGTTTGTGTTCATGTACACAAGTCTCATCCCTGCTTGATGCCAGGGAAAGGTGGTGAGGATTTAACAAATAATGGCAGAAATTAATATTCTTCCAATAAAAATTTATGACCAGGAGGGCAGCCTGCTGTTGTAATCATATTTTTAAACGTTGAAAAAGCAGGACTGCCAGCTAAAAGAATTGGGCATGTTTTGTGCATCAGGTTTGTGTTCATGTACACAAAGGTGAGTGTAGTAAGAGCTAAGTTTCACAGAAATTGATAGTGTATATTTGAATAGTTATCATCTGATAAACAGCCTTAAAGATATGCGCTTTGTATAAAATAAATAACCAGTATCAACTCTTCGGAGTCACAGCATGGACTCAGTATTCACAGAACTGCTTCCAACAAGATAAAAAAGCCTGGTGTGACATTCTGAAGTCCCTTCTGAAGTCTTTTCATCATTCTTTCAAGGTTCACAACAGGTTGATTTCACCTGTTCAAAAAACAGGTGTAGCAGAAGTTCAATATCTGCCCAACCCTTACTGATGCTTTTTCAGCTCTTCCCACTATATTCTGTAAATACATTCCTGCAGCACGTCAGGGTGACAGGCTGAAGCCCAGAGCAAGGAACAAGAGAGACTGTTACACTGTGCTAGCTATACCCCTCTGTTTATGAACGCTATTTTTCATGTAAAGCCTCTGCATTCATTTGGATTAAGCCAGAAGATGCCAAAACCATACTAAAGCTAGATGGGAAGGTGGCAGATAAAACACCTTGAAGGGATCCATGACAAAAGTCATCATCAAGATGAGTCACCCGCGGTACCCAAATCTATTCTTCCTTGGGGTTTGCAGTGACTTTATGTTAGGTAACATTCCAGCCAACTTGCATATAAATCCTACGTCAGCTTTAGACTGAGCTTTGTTATAAAAAATAAAATATCTTGTTTCCTGAATATCCTGCCAAAGTCACTCAGGACAGACAAACAGCAGAAACAAAGACAGTTCAGTGTATCTTACTGATAAAATTTTCAGACGTGTGCTTTATCAAAGAATTGGAACAGAGGACCATGGGGAAAATCAGTTTTGCACCTGCAATGCACTATTTTCTATGTTCATTGTTGCTTTCCCTTTTTGACCTTTATATTCGGATCAGTGCTCATTTAGAATAAATGTACTTTTCCAGTCACACATTTGCTTGCTTCAGAAGAAACAGTTTTAGCAGAAGAGTTGGAGATAAGGAAATTCTTTTCTTTTCTCCAATTCTTTTATTTAGTACCCAGTGTCAAATTTTATAAAATCCCATTAGAAGGCTGACTGTCATGGTACAGAAAACTAATGAATTTACTCTGATGAATTTGTCATCAGACAAATTACTGGGACCACTGACTCGCTGCCATCTCTGGAGCAGGGGCACGGAATAACAGAAGTTACTAGCAATGTTCATGCAACAGCAGTTTTTATCTGGTTTGGAGAGTAACCCAAATCCTTAGCAATGTTCTAGCATACCTGTCATTTAGCTGGCAATACCGTTAGACCAGCATTCAAGTACACAGAAGCATAAAGTCCACATGAGCAGACACAGGTGTCCTGAAAGACCCCTCGCTTCTTCTTGCAGCTGAGTAAATAAGAATTTAAATGCACCAAATAAAGAGAATAACCACTAACTAATGAAAGGAGTGGCTCTAATTTTAGGCAGGATTATGCACACAGTTTTTTAATAAACACAAATACATGAGGTTGAGTGTTATTTTTACCCTGGTTTCCTACGGAAATGAGACTGCGTGATTGCGTTATTAATTGGTGGTTGCCACCTCCACCCACCCTTCACTTCCAACCTGAAGCTGTTGGCTTTTCATCTGAAGTTGATAAAGGGCGAAGAAATCTCCGTGATGTTAAAATGCTGCAATTTCAGGGAAAATTAGCAGCTGGGAAGAGCAGAGAGCCTCACGTTAGTACTCTCTCTATGAGAAATAGTGAACCTAGTAGGAACTAGTGCAAGTAGGAACTTGGCAGTTACCTGTTCTGCGTGACCTGTCAGTTGTCCTATAAGTACTCGCAGAATAATTAGCCCTCACATCAGCCACAATATGTGCTTTCTCCCAGTTGATTAAGTAGAGGAGAAAGAAGAGCTGAAAATATGACAACAAGTTGATGGGATACAGGGAGAGCTGGAGGAAATGAAGGCATCTGAGGTGATTTGGAACAAAGTGGGAGAGAGAGCAGCAAGAGATGAGCCTGCAAATATGCACACCTTACAGCAACACGACCCCATCAGCTCCACTGCTCGAACCACAGCTTCATTTCACCATTTGACACCGGAGTGTTACACCAGTTCAACAGCTAACACGGACACACGATGTTCTGGTACTGAAGTAACAGAAGGAAGTCTGGTTTTTACCTGGTCTGGGAATAAGCAACACTGGTATGGAGATGTTTTCTCCAGAATGGATCCAGAGAAGAAAGGGCTGTGCAAATTTTGCTGAAAAGGCTAGGTTTAAGACCATAAAGCTGTATGTATAGGTAAGTCCTTTAGACACCTAAATCAGCATTAGACGTCACTGCACATATTTAGGTTGGCTTTAGAGAACATTATTTGATACATTACAAAACTAAAGAATTCTATCTAAATTAGAGTGCTAACGTTAATAAGCACAGGTTAATGCTAAATATAAGCAAACACAAAAGCTCAGCAGCTGGTTTACTACATCATCCTTTTGTATCCGTCCCAGATCATGGTACTGAAAAAGAAACGATAATAAATGGTATCATCATTAATCATAATTAAGTGAATATATATATAGCACTTTCCTTCACTTTTAGATTTCAAAGATTTTATAAATTAATTAACAGTCTAGTAACAGTCAGAAATCAGAACGGAGTCAGCCCTATTCTGCAAGAAATGAAATAAACTGTGGAGTGACATTCAGCTGGGTTCTGAAATATCGGCAAAGACCCGTGAAGCGTATCGTGCTCCTAAGCAGCACACAGACCATGTGTTGACATTTACTTGTCAACTAACACGACCGAGGTTACAGTGAAACTCTGTACAGAATGTGGGAACAGAAACAAGACTTTCTGATTCATCCTTCTCCATCTGATGCCATAAAAAGTAGAATATTGCATCAGATCCACTTATTGTGCTTTACAAAATTGCAGCAAAAACAAAGAGAGAATAATCTTGAGGTTATGACACTGAACTTGGAATATTTTTTCCAGTTCTTGGCTCTGCTACAATGTCAAGCAAGTTATCCAGCTTTTTCTTCTCAGTCACTTATCCATAAAACAACAGAATTTCCTTTTTCTGTCTTGTCTGTTCATGGCCCAATGGTTTTGGGAAACAGACTGTTTCTCATTGTATGTCTGCACAATACCTAGCACAGGCTACATTTACATTTTGTAAACCTTTTCACATTGCAGGTCCATAGCCAAGAGCTGATTCGGGAAAAGCATGTCAGCAAAAGCATTGAGGACTGACTTTAAAAGTCCCTCCTACCTGTACAGGTGTCTCCAGAGTGTAGATGTGTTCCCCGCGCACGTTGTAGAACTTGACAAGCGCGCTCTTCAACAGGGAACCATTGCTGAGGTCAACCAGCTGGCCTTGCTTCTCCATGCCTGCTACAGCAAGTAGGTCTCCTTGTGTGCACCACTGTACCACCACGTCTGAAATTGCAAAGACAGTTTGCAATAATCACTGATTACAATCGGTAGGAACAGCGTTTCCAGATGCTGCAAAGTGACTTGAACAGCTAAATCATGCTCTCAAAGGTTACTTAAGTACTTAGCAACCTAAATCCTTTCATCAAAATAGTAGCAAATATGTCACCGTATGCACTTCTGAGAATGACTTATCTTTTATTTTGTAAATTGCAAAAAATGTGTAAGAACCCTTCATTTTTCTCTCTCTATGGTGAGTCTAGAATGTAATCAGTGGTTGCTCCTAAGTACAAGAATTTATTAGAGATATTAGAACTGATGTGGAAGATCCTGTGCACATCTTTGGGGTAAATAACTGGAATTAAGTTAATATGCACATAAATAACCTCACTGACTAAGACAGCAGCAGTAGAGAGCAGAGTATTTGTCTGGAAAGGCCTACAGTGCAAAAAAGCAGCATATTGGGCAATGCCTCATGTTCTCACTGCTTTGAATATAACTTTTAGCATCACTCAAACTAGAGTTATATTTTGGTATAACACCAAACGAGAAAGACTTTTGGATTTTTGTCCAGAAATACAGATGGCCTTCGTGTCATAGGTTTTCTTTTGACACATGACTTGTGAAAATCTACTCATCTGTCTCGTAGGAGATTGCCAGAAGCACACAGGGACTGCTCAGTCTCTCATATACACGGATATGAATATACATATCAGTTGCTTCTCTTACAGGCACCTCATGATGAGGAACGCCCACAGCTTAATTTGGGGATGCTAATTTCAAACCCTTCTATCCTCCAGCTCTTTGTCACACTGCAACAAGAGCACCAAACCCGTATTTTGTGTTTCTGCTTGTGTTCCACAGGCAGATTTGCATGTGCAAGGAATACTGAGCTAGTCTTTAAGCCTTTTGACTCTCAAACCGGAGGTGAAAGGCAGCTATTTTGTGCTGAGACAAAGTGAAGGTAAAGACAAAACTTTTGTGCTCTGGGATGCTCAATCTGCCAAGAACCTTTTGAAGACATTTGTGGGCGAGAAGCTGTCTTCAAATGAAGAAGCAGGAGAGAAATGAGAGTTGGCAGGAAGGATCTCAAAATTGTTTCAAGTTGTCAACCTGTCATTTTCAGGGACTTTCATGTGCAATTTAAAATGGTTTTGTATTATTTCAACTTTCTGATATTTCTCATGGGAATTATGCTTCTGTACATATCAGAGGCAAGACTCATGTTCCTCAGGATAATTTTTGCACAGCTAGGCATTGTATGCTTCTTTTTTTTCTCTTAGTCCTCAGCCCTCTAAGTTATCTACAAGGGCATTTATTCATCTTTCTCAGAGAGTATAACAATAGGCAGGTTGGAAATCAATGATGCAAACGGATCAACTCCACTTTTGGTAACTGGATTAACTGCACAGAGACCAAAGTGAAAAAACAGTCTCCTTTAGATATACGTCTTCAGGTAAAACTTTCAGTCAGTCCCCATACCAAGAGGAAGAGGAGGGATAGCTGTGTCCAGCAGTTTTCTCTTTCTCTCTCTCAAAACCCCTAGAATTAGGCTGCTGCAAAGGCAGGAAAGGACTGGGCTGTGGATTGCAGCATCCTCCTGGGACAGGGTGGCTCTACAGCACTGCTTGCACTAGAAGACCCAATGGGGTCTTCTACAATTGACATAAAACAGCTCAACTGATAACCAGGTCTCAACGCGAGCACAGAGACTAGAAATCAGATGGAGGTTTCACCTCGGGTAACAGTCTGCAAGTGAATCAGAGCCATCCCTCAAAAGTACTTAACCACTTGCCAGCCACTACAGGTATGTATATCAGCAAACCTTGAGTAGACAGCAACCTAAATAGCTCTGCAGGCAGTAGCTGTAGCCAACTAATGCAATTAGTAGATGTAGTTCAGCAGGTCTGCAGGTAGCAGCATCCTGAGAATCCCTGAGTTAGAAAGCGTAAAAAAAACAGAAGGAATACAACTGAACAGTTCAGGACCTCCACTAGAACTGTGAGTAGACAGCAACCTAAATAGCTCTGCAGGTAGTAGCTGTAGCCAACTAATGCAAGTAGTAGATGCAATTCAGCAGGTCTGCGGGTAGCAGCATCCTGAGAATCCCTAAGTTAGAAAGCATAAAAAACCAGAAGGAATACAACTGAACAGTTCAGAACCTCCACTAGAACTGGTAAAGCTTCCAGGAATGTTCAAGATGCATGAAAATAAGAACTTGTATTTGGGTAATCAAATTCTCATCCAACAGCAAATGGTGTTTTTTACATCAATTTCATATGAATACTCCCAGTAAAATGAAAGCTATGCAAAGCTAGTAGAACAGCAAAAATATATTGGTAATGCTTGAACTAGTTTTATAGTTGCCTGCTTTAAAAATACATTGAGAAGCCTACAGCCGCCCATAAAGACAAGGGCATCTGCTGCAAAGACCACAAAGCAATACTTACAGATTTCAAACAGAAACACATGAATTAAGACTCCCACACAATACTGCAGACCATCCACTCTCAGCAAAATACCAAGCAGCTGGAGAGGATGGAGGCCCTGAACTGGGAGGTTCTGCACATTCTTGCACGTGATAACAAGCTGTAAAATTACAGTCACTTGAAAAATAATTTGATAAGAAGGTAGAGAAAAAGTTTTTGTCTATGTGACAGGTACATGCAAAATACTTTCCACTGTACAATGGGCAGCTTCAAAACAACAGACAGTGATATCCCAATCTCCTTTCTCTCTCTGTCTCATACACACTCCCAATCCAGCAAGATGTTGCACATTCTTCTTCTAGTGATGTCAGTGATATTTACAACCGTAAGAAATATTTCTACTGTGGCTTGTACATTAATACTTTGTTAGAGGAGGGTGACATAATTAAATTAAATTAAATTAAAAATCTTTCTTCCATTAGTGAAAGTCAACAGGGAAAGAGAATCAGGACAGACATCCTCAGCAAGACAGCCCTGCAACTCTAAACAGAGAATAAGATGGAGTTTGTTTCTCCTACTATTTCCAGCTGAAAGCCAGATTAGATGACAACTCAAGAATACTTCCTATCTTATTTACTATAACTCTGTAGAGATGCTGGGAACACCTCTTGGTGGATGTAACGAGCCTCTCTTAATTGGTTCCAGTTTCCCAGACTTTAGGTGTCCTTTCAGCTGAAGAAGTTTTCTGGATGACAGGGTCGCCCCAGATCCTACATTTTGCCAGCCATGTGTTTCTTGTGTTGGCACAGAGGGAAGCAGGAGTGGAAACCTCAAGGGTGATTTTTTTAACATAAGGCTACCCTACATAGTGGATCACTCAAAAATTATTGGGCTGGTGTTAGGGCAACTTTTCACCCAAAATATCTTACTGTTACAGAATAGTTAAGAGTCTGCTCCAACAGCTTCATTTATTATTTTTTTAAAATCTAATATAAAACTAATTTATCTGTGGAGATGAAAAAGAATCAATGGAACCTATATTTAAGTATGTGCTTATGTGCTGTAGTGAATTAAAACTTCTCTCCAGGCAAAGCACCATAAATTGTACTGAGAGTGTTGGCAAAGCAAGGGACTTTTCTGATAAGTAAGAACAATGAACTAAAGATTTGACATGGAATACTGATCTTACAAACATTCACGCACATCACTTAGCAAGATGTATAGTAATTGATCGGTGGAATTTTCCTTTTCTCAGTATAACTCTCCTCAATAATTAATAGTTCTAGCAAGTTTTCAAAATTTGTGGGAGTCAAAGCAGAATTGCAATTCATACCTGGCTACCAAAAGCATGGGAGGAGACCTTGTGAATTAAAGATGCAAAGGAAGCATTATGTAGCAGAGGCGTTCACACAAAGAAGCATAAACATATTAGCACATTCAGCTGGAAAACGGCAAACAGATCGATTTGCTCTACAGAACTGCCATAAAAATACAATCTCAAAAATGGAAAATTTTTTGTCCAACACAAAACCTCTATCAGCCAAGAGCTGCTCTTCCACCAGCAGGTGTCACTGCTGGAAATGGTAATAACGGTGGCTGAGGGCTTCTGGGTTAGGAGAGACAACCGCGAAAACACAGCCCATGCACACATTCGTTAAATATACAAGACAAAAAGAGCATAGGAAGGGGGTGAAATGGCTTCCTTTTCTACCTTTCAACCCTGAGCGGATGATAGTAGGAGACAAGTCATCATAGTTGTTCATTAAACTGATGTCTCCCGACGTGAAGCTGACAGTAAGTAGTGGCTTGGTGTTCTGCACCGGGACTGGATACGCAGCTGGTCCATCTGCAAAAAAACAAGGCTCTGGGGTGAGCAAAAGGCAAGAGACCAGAAGTAATTACATCCAGGCTGAAATACACTGTACTTTGGCCTATTTGAGGGTTCCAACCCTCAAACTCTACCTGCTACGTCTGCAATGTCTATGGGCCAAAGCAAAGTAGGTTTAGCAGTTAGTTTGCCTCTTTTTGTGAAACCTCAATGTTTTTACTTTGTGAATTTTCACTGCGGTAGAGCCAAAGTGATTTATGCATATACTATTATGTTATACAGCAGCAGTTTTCAATCTTTCTCCGTTGTCAACTCCCCACAGTGCCCACAAATTGAAAACCAGTGCTTTGGAAGGTTTCCTTCACACCAAAGTTGAAAATTGATGTAATCAACAACATAACCACATTAAAAGCTATTTGTTAGATACACTTTCTGCTTGGGCAAGTGCTAGGGACTCCTCCTGAAGTTACACAGAGATGTAATAAGAACTTCTAAGAGCACATGCTGACCTTTCACAAATTACTGTATTCTAAATGTTACGAGCTAGGCAGCAACATGAAAAGTTACCTGCCATCCTGCACAACAGGATCCAAAGCACTCAAAGGCAGAGGTGAGCCCAAATGGAACACTTGGCTCTAAAAACCATTTCTGCAAAGTCTCTGTTCCTCTGGGCTTGTTTTTCAGCATTCAGTGAAATTCCCTTGCTCAAATACTTCATGACCAATATCACCATCTGTAGCATTCGCTGTTTAACTCTTTTTGTTTACAATTTCTGACAGGGGATGCCTTCTCAAGGCCCAGCCAGCATCTTTTCAGTCAACAAGAATGGCAGAGCCATTGCTTCCAGAGTATTGTTTCCTGAACTTGTAAAAATGCTGATCAGAAAGCATTTTGGAGAAAGACGTCTAATAATTAGCATCTCTGTGTGTATATAATTTAATAAGAAAAACCCATCAAACTTCCAGCCCTTCCTACACATCTGTGTGAGTCAAAGGTTTGTCACCTTGGAGAGGTTTAAGCTGCATCTGCTCTAAAGAAAACACATCATGTTTGGGTAATCATTAAAATAAGCTTGTAGGCTTGTAACGAGTCCGCCCACCCCCTGATTGACTCAGAAACAGCTAGTGCATTCGGATCATTTAAGTTCTCATCTGTGTACTCTGCAACTTCTCCATCCTCTGACTGAAACCTCAGTATTTAAAAAAAAAAACAACAAAAAAACAATTTAATGTTTTCTCTGTCTTGCTTTAGAAGCTTGCTAGGAAATTTGAAATTTGCTTCTTTTCTCCTAAAGTAAGAAATCTCACCCAGTACCAAAAAGTGAGGAGTGAAAGCCAAAATAAAAACCAGTTTTAAAAAATGCTAACGCTTTACCAGATGATCACATTCTCTGCTATCATTATTTGTTAAATACAGATGCTTATTATATGGACATATATACATGATTCTGGAAAAAGTAGGGTTTTTGACTGAAGTGAAATTATAGTTAAAACCGCAAGAGTCCTCAATTCAGTGGTTCAGTGGATCTGAGATACAAATTAAAAATTATTTCTAGCTATTATATATTTAAATTTTCCATCCTTAAATCACTGTTATGTTAGTTTAGTTAGTTTAGTTCTTAATTTAATTCAGACTTTATACACTGGAACACAGAAACAGCTTACCTCGATCTTATAGACTAATCAACAGCATTAACAAGAAGTATTAGCATTACTTGAATGAGAAGAATGGGGCTGGCTGCATGGATACCCAGGCCTCCTAAGTCTTTGCTACTGATGACTTCCAAAGAGTTTAAAACCAAAGCATTTCACCCAATGAGTTATATTTATACTTAAACATAGGGAAGGATTTCTTCCTGACCCTCAAACCGGCAATATTCTCTGAAGCATGGGAATTAGTAACTCCAGACAGCTCCAGTCACTGTTCTTCTACCCTGTGCAATTGCAGGAAATATTTTAATTTCCAATTCTTCTATGGAATTTATCAAGCTCTTTATGTCAGGACTCTCAAGGATGGGACTGTAATGAGCAACATTACAGAAATCCTATGAAGCAGAGACAAAATTAAAGATGTAGTACTTTCTGCTATGTCTAGTATGGGTGTCTTCACATGAATCTAAACAATAACGCATTAACTTCTCTGACTGCACTCCATGCATATCGACCATGGCAACACCTCACATCTGCTTATGAGTGAAACCTGATTATGGCCTTTTCTAGTGTTTTTCACTCACCCTCACTAAAATCTTTGAGTTTTGTGTTGTTATCTCATGTGTGCAAACGGAGGCAGAGCAGCATGGATGAGGCACGACGTGCAGGAAGATGTGCAGCGAGGCTGGTGGCAGAGCTGGGAATGAACCCACTCCCCAGTACCAGCCCTTTGCTCCATCCCCAGCTATACCTCCACAGGAATCTTTTGGCCTCTACCAACTTGAAAACACGGCCACCCTACTGTTCCAGCACAGCATGACTATTCCCTGGCGTTTGAGATACCTTCATGAACGCTTGCAAACCAGCCACAGAAGAACACGCACGCAACCCTACCTTGTGGTGGGGAATAGTCGTCGGAGTCTGTGTCGCTCTCGCTGCTGTCCTCCACCAGGAAGCTGGGGTAGTTCCAGGACATGCTGAGGATGCCGTCTGACTCGTGAAGGAGTACGTGGGCCAGCATTCGGCCGTGGCAGTCCATGACGATAACCTGTCCATCAGCAGTGCCAAACAGTACCTGGAAATAACAGAACGACCCTCAGTCCCACCAAACGTCAGCCACTGGGCCTCCTTCAGATGACTCGATGATCCCAAGGGTCTTTTCCAACCTAAATGATTCTATGATCTTGTAATTAACTAGCTACACTGGAAATTAACTGAAAGCAAAGCAGTCAGGGATGTGAAATGGTGCCACAACAGGACACCACAACCAAAGATGTATTTAAAGAATGAAGTCAAAGCACCAGGGTCTAGAGCTAAGGTCCTAAAATCTCTGAGCAAGTAATGTTTCATGGTGTGGTGAATTTTGCTCACTTTAATATAAGCCGTTATACTTTAATTGAACTTGGCCATTGCTACCACCAAATTGAGCTGGCAGAAGGGCTACCACAGATTCTGCGGTATTCTCGGATTACACAGAACCTTCTAAAATTGGTGGCAGAAACTGAGGTATGCATCAATCATAACAATATCAGATGACAAAAATGAGGTTCTAGCAGAGATTTCAAAGAGCTTATAAGAAATGGAAAGCTGAATAGAGGATAGAAGAGGGTAAGTTATTCAGTTGATGAGCTGAGAGAAGGTGGGAGAATGTCTTCTAAAAACAGAGGCAAAAACCAATACGATCAGTCAACAGGAAGAACATTATTATAGTCTAAGAGGAAGGGAATATATTATGCATTCAGGAAGAGATGAAGAGGAGCTTCCACCCACCATTTCAAATACAAAATGGATAAGGTAAGATTTTTTTTCTTGCCCCTAAACTACTCCGTAGCTAATGTGTGCTGACTGAAGTCAGACTGACTGGAACCTGCAATTTCTTTTTTAGAGGCATTTTCTGTCTTGAGGCTTTAAGCAAGTTAAGATCCTGCATATTTGATGAATTTTAGAAAAACATTAGGAAATAAGGATTAATAAATCCACAAAATAATTATCCGAGGCTGCTGCTGCTATCTTCTAATTCCATATGAGGCAAATACACTTTAAAGCAAGTTTAAAGGCACTCATAAAATTGAAAACTAGCCAGCATTAAAAATGAAGCTAAAAGGAAAAGCAAATCTTATATTTGTCCTTCAGTCTACCACCTATTACCAGTGTGTGTAAATTCAAGATTCTAACAATTCTATGCCCAGATCTAAAATTCATCTAGCCTTGTATCTAATCTCTAACCATGGTCAAGTGTTTGGGAAGGAGTAAGAGAACAGGATGCACTAAACAGGCACCTCCTCTGCACACTCATGTAATTTCCAGTAAAAAATACTGCCCCTTCTTTGATAAGTGATAATTTCAGTTGGTAACCTTTACTTCTTAATACTAAAAGAATTACAGAATAATTATTCCCTACTTGCATTCTCAAGATTGGTCACTATTTCATAGACCTCTATAACCTAACCCCTTAGCCATCTCTTTTCCAAGCTGAAGAATTGTAGCCTACTTAGGATCTCCCTGTAGTGTTGTTGCTCAAAGCCTCCAATCATCCTTGTTGACCTCTGCTGTCAGAGGTCTTCCTTTCTATCTTCCTTCTGAGATGTGGTACCAGACTTGCAGCATTCAAACTGTGCATTTTATCAGACTTATACAACCGTACTCACCTAGGAAGCAACTGTCATGGTTGCACTTTTGAAAGTTTTGGAAAAGAAGCATGGCTTCAAAAGTCTCAGTCAAAAATAAGAAGTACGAAATTTTTTTTCTGTGATCAAGGTGATGATCAGGAAACAGAAGGTTGCAAACTAGAATAGCAGTTTAAGAGAGGAACTCCAGTGAAGTCATTAAAATCTTAAGAAAATCAATTGAGTTATTTCACATTATTGGAAGCAATGAAAAAACAGTATCTGGCTGCCTTAACTGTAATCATTACATGTTACAAATAGTTTTGTGTTAAATAGCTGCTGGGTTAAAACAGTGGCTAAAGTTTGCCACAAGCTTCGCATCGCTATTCTCAGATATAACTGCAATAACTCAACCTTTGTTCATCTCACACTCCTCCTCTTGTGGTCCTTTATGCCACTCTTCTTCCACTTGTATCATGCCATCTCCTTTCACACTGCACATTAATTCAATCGTTTTTACATGCATCATCAGTGCACAGCCACTTTCACTATCTACTTTCAGAACATAACCACTCTCTTTCAGATCTCCACAAAACAAATTTCTTCTACAAAGCCAAAATCCTACCATTTATCGTTGCTAGCTTCTCACACCACTTTCTCTTCTACAAAGCCAAAATCCTACCATTTATTGTTGCTAGCTTCTCACACCACTTCTCACATCAATCTATAGAGCCTACTCTATAGATTAGCTTTTTACCAGTCTCCTAGGAGTGGTGTAACTGCAAAATACCCAGACAGAGGCAGTGAAACGCTCTATTGTTTCTGAAAATACCAGTCTAACAGTTCTGCCTCCTAAAATCCGGTAGAAAGACTTCACAATTGGGTAGAAACAAAATGTTGGGACTCATCAGCCCGAGTTCAGTCTCATCTCAATCTAAAGCTAGTTCTTTCAAGTAGTACTGCCCTCAATTCATTTAAAATGACAAAGTCCCACAGTAATTTCCAATTCAGATGCATGTGGGCATATTAATTTTTGCACTGGAACCTGAGAAAGCTCTTTAGCAACCTAGAAATGTCAGAGGGCACTCTTCATCTCTTTAACCAGGCTATAGGTTTCACGGAGCAGCTTTAAGTTTCGGGGTTATTGTAGCAATACAACCTTTAAGATAAAAGCATTTATCCGGCTGATAGTTCTGCTGGCTGAACTCCTGCTGAAGCTGTAAAAATGTCTAATGGTGTTATCATCCATAACATTACTCAAGTTATAAATGCCACACTCAAGCTACTTATATCAGATGAATAAAACTCTCTTGACCTTCAGAAAAAAAGGTTGAGCCACAGGGTACGCCTGAAGGATCCAATGGAGAAATTAAAAAGTTGTATTTTGGCTGCCTACATTCATATATTTCAGGTATTTGCAGATCTAGGAGGTCTGGGAGAATGTTGGGAAAAGGTAATGAACAAGTTATAGTGGCTTGTTAACCCCGGAATACAAAAGCTAAATTATAATAATAGTAATTAAAAAAAATAATCCCAAGTACTTATTTTTAAGCAGTTCTTTGGCCCCTTGTTCTGCTCTTCTCTTGTCTCATCTCCTCTCCTTTCATACTGTTTGTTACTTCAACTGTTTTTACATGCATTACCACTCGCAGAATTCCATTTGTAGAATTATGCCTAATCTGACCATGAAACACCTAAAATCTCTCATACATTCAAGGTGTAAGTCAGTTACACAACATAAATACAGTATTTCTTTACAAAACATATCAAACACAAGGAATTGTGCACTACAGTGAAGCTGTAGCTGATTAGAAGTCACACAAATGCAGAGCAGTCTCTAATGGTACCTTGATGCTGTATGCTTTGATGGGAGAACTGTGATGAGCAGCGTTGGGATAATTCACACACAGTTTTCTAAGCCTGTCAAGAGCTGAAAGTTGGGTTCAGTCCTGAAACACATGTGCCTGGGTTCTCCATTAAATCCTAAATCCAACCTTGGGGTGATTCCTACTTAGCATGACAAATCTGAATACCTGAAAAACACACTTCTCTGAATTGTGCTGACCTCTTAGCCCTTGTGGTAACTTGTGATGAGTTTCACAAGCTAGTTTTGGTAAAGAAAAAGGGAGTCCATCCGCTTTTAACCTATTATCCATGAAATTATCATTCAAGATTGCAATCCCTTTAAATGCCCAAGATTTCAGAGAGTCTTCAATTTTCAATCTGACATGACCAAGATCAACAGAGCTACAATGGAGCAACCACAACCTGGAACACTGAAGGTCCAGCTCAGGAGGCCCACTACTTTATAATTTACTAACAGCGATGCTATTTTTGCACAAAATATATGTAATTGCTATTTAATTTGGGTTAATATATGCAAACTGAACTCATCAACAGTAAGAATGCTCGAGTTTTATGTTAATTTGAATATACTAGCCCAGTAGGAAAGAGAGAGATCCTGCCATCTCACCACATCCAATTATATGCAGTAGCTGAGGAAAGTCTGTAAATCTTAACAATTTCATTAAGTCAGTGAAGTAGTGCTGACTTACACCTGCAGGGAACCCACCTATCATCCATTCCTACCTCCCAGCCTGTCCTCATTGTCAAAGAAGCTTTCCAGAACTACAGTCACTATGACTTTTATAATAACTGAGGATAATCCATTCAGTTTGCATTTAAATTCCTGGATACACTCAAATGTTCTGAAAATTAATGTAATCTGTCATGAAATCTCAGGTGGTTTAATCTTCCCTAAGCTGTGGCTGAATTGCCAGCTTTGTTGGTAACTCCACTGAGCAATTTCTTGAGTTATATCTCTTCCTTCTCCCACAGGATAGGTGGCAGGCAGAAGGACAAAGTGACCACACCAAGTTTTTGCAGGAACTGGCTGATCACATTAGAAAAAGGCAAAGGTTTAGATGTGTCCTAGAAGTTGCCTACTGGACCAGTCCAGCAACCTGAGCTCTACTGGGCTTGAAATTCTCAAGCTTTCTACAGTCCATATTAATGCAAATAACTGTATGCAACCCATAAATGTTGCTATCTCACAACAGTTAATATTTTAAACGACAGTAAGTATTTTTAAATTAAAAAAAAAAAATTAGAATATATAGTATGACACAAAGGCAAACCCACTGTTCCAATTGTATAATGCAAATTGACTGACTGCTTCGTCTTCCCCTTGGCAGACTGGTTCCTGGCCAGTTCTTCTCTTCACGCTGCTAAGCCATCCACAGTAGGTAAAACATGTATTGTTATAATTTGCTGTGGTTTCTACACCTGCCAAATTCCAGCAGAGGATATATTCCCACAACACCAAAGGGCACATACAGTTATTTCTGTCAGGAAATCCTTAGGGGGCTCATTTGCATTGGAACTTGTTGAGTTTTTCAGAACTAAATACACCATTTCAGCTATTGTTTTCTAGCCACCACTTTTAATGACACATGCAAAGACTTCTGAG